TTGATTCTTGGGGAAAAAAAAAAAAAACAGTAAAAAAAAAAAAAACGGGACAGTAGGAGAAAAAAAAACAGGACAGTAGAGTTCAAGCCTGGACTTACTGAATGCTGACCACGCCCAAGTTTTGCTTCCTGGTCACACTGAGACTCCCAGTGCTGATAATCGAAGTAAAGCATATTGCTAAATGTCAGTCCAATTTGCCTTATGTCTGGGCAATAACTGAATGAGGTCTTGGATAACTGAATGAGAAATGAGCAAAAACAATCTTTCTGCCTCAAACAAGCCATCCCTCCTTTATCTGTATTATGATTAATACAGATTCAAGCATGCCAGAAGGAATGAAACCAACAGCACCTCAAACTCAACACATGCTTAAGTCCTTTTCCTGACCCTCACATGAAGCATTTTCAAGAGGTATTTTTTATTTATTTTTCATCGGTTTTCACTGTCTTGGTTTCCAGGCTGAGAGAACCTGTCTATTCTGGCTAATGGCAGTTGAGCTGAAAGGCTTGGCCTTCAACCCTGGAAGAGAGCTGAAATTTCATTTGATCTTGCAGAGGAAAGCCAGGGGAGATTAGACTTTCTTATCCAGAGTTCTTGGCTTAACAGTTTAGTTAACAACCAAACTTTGCTTCAGTCAGTTTCCAAACCTCCACATTCCACCAAGCCCAAACTCATCCCAAGGATACTGCGGAAGGAATCTTCTTCTCCAACAACTTTCTCCATGTTCACCTTTCCTCAAACAGGTGCTGAACAATGAAATGCAAAGAGCTGCAGATGCAACAGTCCCTTTTGCTATTTCAGAAATCTTCCTAGGAAGTATATTTTTGTCCTGTATGTATTCAACACTTCCTCCATGCTGGCAGAACTTCCAGACACAACCTTATATTTCAATTTACTTAATGTACTTTTTTTTTGCCTCTAATAATTAGGCAAAATGAGGTTCATATGAGGTCCCCAAGGGACCGGGCTAGCCCGACAGTGAAGACAAAAGGCAGTTCCACCTCACAGTCCCTGGCAGCAAGACTGGACAAAACATAGTATTGTATAGACATAGACAGGCCAGTTACAACAGGTCACAGCTCAAACAGTAACACAGATCAGTGCTAAAAACCTCCACACCTGCACATATCACAGGAGCCAGTGCTTTCATGAGTGTCATGGGATTTGGTGACATCACCTCAAAAGTCTGAATGCCCAGATGATACACGCAAAAAAACAAGCTCCTTTTCAAGTGCTTTTCAAGTATCTAATCTTGCCTTAAATGCATCTTCTATACCTGAAAGGCAGCCAAAGGACCAATTCAGTCCAAAATAGCCACAGTGAATAGTCTTGATGTAGCTGTCTAAATTTGGGTGTCTGGTATCTTTTTGAGGTACGCTTGCCACAAATCTGTCCTTCACTTCTTGCTGATGTCAGTGTTTTGGCTTCCCAAGACACAAATAACCAAAGTTGCAAGTTCTACTTGTCTGATCACATTCCTCTCTGCCTAAATAATCATCTTACCACCATTTTGGTCTTGTTTATGAGTCTGTTGTGCAAAACATCTAACACGCCTCTGAAATGCATTCACGTCCTGCTTGGAGCTTTGCAACATTTTGAGCCAGATAAAGGTGCTTACTAAAATAACATTTTTAGCTCTATGAAAGCCAGATTTGCTTTTGGGATGTGAGAATCAGTCTATACATTTGAAAAGTTCTTGACAGGAAAACAAAAGATTCTAGTAGCATGTATTTCTTTTCACTATCACTACAAAGTGAGACCCACTGGACCTTGTGGACTTCTCTCCCACTGCAGAAGATTTGATAACTGTCTTTTCTTGTGTGTTTTTCTTCTCTCCTTTTTACAAGAAGAGTACAGAACATTGAGTCTGAGCAAAACAAAAAGCTTCACTTCCCCATGCGAACACTCCGCAGGTAACTGGAGAGTACCCCAAGGGCCCTACAAACACCAGCCAGGCTCCTGTCCAGCTCATAGCCCAAAAGCCATCTCAGTCAAGCCCTAACTTCTGCTTCGTTACTGGAATACCTGGGTATGGGAGAAAGCAGATGTTCAGTTATGTGTGGAATGACTTGTAGATTCTCTCCAGCCAATCCAAGTAGGCTTTGCAGAGCAAGAGTGCATCATGACTTTTTAGACTTGCTCCCACCTATAGGAGCAGTTTGCTGCCTTACACTCACTAATGCCAGAGGAAAACATTGTGGTGCTCCACTGGATCTCACTGAGCACAGAACTCTTAGGAGAAGATCTAACACTGTTGGGACACACAAATATAAACAACCTGCTCTTTCAAGAAGTGAGATAGTATGCCCGCCACCACAGACAGATTAGGTGGGATTGGAAGGCACTTCTGGGGACCATCTGGTCCATCCACCCCACCCTGCTCAAGCAGGGTTAGCTAGAGCTTGTTGCTCAGGAGCTTGTCCAGTTGGGTTCTGAATATCTCCAAGGATAGAGACTCCACAACCTCTCTGGGTAATCCAGTCCAGTGTTCGGCCACCCTAACAGTAAATGCTTTCTTGTGTTCCAACGGAATTTCCTGTGGCAATAACCCCTCATTGATATCTATCTGTCAGCATATGACACTGACCCTAGTAACTTTGCTACATTAGAACCATGATTTTTCTTCTCCAAATAACTTTGTGGCAAAGTTGGAGACAAAACTTACTAAGTGAATAAAAAATGTTGTTCTGTCCCAAGCTTTTGCCTGCAGTGACAATATGCCTGTGTCTGATCTGCAAAATGCTTTAATCCCAAACAGTAGTCCTGGGCCTCCCTTAATTCATTTTATCAAAATCAACCCAAAGAGGGGATAAAAAAGAACAACCCCATCAAAAACACTTTCACCCAGCAAGGAGTACCCTAACTGCCCTCTGACTGGGGGATATGGGTATTCAGAAAGGATTGTACAGGCCTAGAAACTACGAGCCGGTAGAAGCCCCAGAAGGGCAGTTTTGACAAGGAGATAGAGGTGTTTCTATCACTTGCTTCCCAAAGAATGGGACCCAGCTGAGCTTCCCTTTTTACCCACCAAGTCCCATTCCCTGTTTAAATGAGAATGTTCACAGAATGGTTGAGGTCATAAGGGATCTCTAGAAATCATCTAGCCAAGCCCTCCTGCTCAAGCAGGTACCAAGAGATTTCCAAATACCCTCTCAGATGTTAGAAAACCTAGAAGGTCAGGCAGCCAGCTTGAGATCGATATTGCAGAGCAGAGTCATTCCTTTTATCCCTTCTCCTGTGATACCAGTTCTTAATAATTTTAATTCTTTTGGGTGCTTTTACATTGTGTTCAATGCTGAGGTGCGTGGGAAGATTTCAACTCTGAGAAGATTAAAAGCAACATGCAAATAATGGTATGCTCAATATTAATTTCTGGAACATTTAGGAAGTAAAAAAAAAAAGTAAGGCCAATTAAGACAATTTGCACTAAAATACCTGTCATCAACACTTTAATCCAGTTCAAGTCAACTTGAGCCAGAACACGGGATAAAAAGTACTAAGCCTTTCAGACTTGTAGATAGCCAAAGAGAAGGTGTTAGTGGTTTCTGAAAGCCAGTCAATGGCCAGTTCTGCTCTAAGCCAGTTCTGCCACCCTTTTCGAAGCAAACATCAAATGTAGTTGTGAAGAGCAAATGGACAACAAGATGAAGATAAAGAGAGTGCGAGAATATCACTACAAAGTGCTAAAAGGAGATGGAAATGTACATACAAGCTGCCTCACTTCAGGACAACCGCACAGAAGAGCTGGAGCACACGGACAAGATCTCACTGTATGGTGGCCAGGTGAGGGACTGCTCCGAAGACTGCTCTTTAAGACCTAGCCAAAGAACCAGAATAGGCTTTTTCTGCTGTGCTCAAGTTAACTACAAAAAAATGGCTCAAAGTCAGGAGATCACAACTCTGCAGTAGGCTGTGCTCTTTCCCCCAGGTCCCCTTCTCTCATGACAGATGTCTGCATTGTCTAGAGGCATTCAACTTGCCAGCACAGAGACCGTCACTCACAACTTGCAAATCTTTTAGACAGCCCAGTTACTGCAGCTCCTAAATCCCTTTCAAAAACTTTTCCTAATGTTAGTTCTGGGCAGAACAGTGTGATATGATGCAATTTAGTCAGTATATGTAAGAGAAAATACAATTAACATTTTGATTGGGAAAAAAAAAGATTAATTAGCATCATCCTAAATCCACCACCATAAAATAACTGTAACTGCAAAGGGTAATTTCACAGACTTCAGATGAGTTATCTGTGGTCAACCCAGCATAACCTGAATTCCAGAGGTTTTTTTTCTTCTTCTTCTTTCGTGGATATCAAGGTTAAAATGTTTAGAATGCACCTGAACACCCAAAGTTCATCACCTGGGAGATGGCAGGAGTTCTGTATTTTTTTTCAAGCAATATTTCTGAGACACAAATCTTGCATCAGAATGAAGATACTCAATGGTGTGTCTTTGAGTTCAGAGCAGAGAGGATTAGAGGATTCAACCATCTCCTAGAGAACAGTGCTTAAAATGCCCCTCTGACTGAGTCATCTTGCCTTTACGCAGGAACATACCTGTCCCTGCTACATCACGATCCAGTCCAGTTGGTTGTTCCCCCTGTCCCTTTTTATTTTTTTTCCTGTTCTCTCCAGGACCAGGACCCAAGTCCTCAGTAGTTTAGTGTTACCACCCCAAGACATTTACATAAGTGCAAGTGAGGGTGGAGGGAGAGGGGTGCTCCTGCAGAAGAGAGTATAAGTTTTAACTCGAGGCATTTTAACTGCTTCAGTGTTTCTGCTCTTCCCCCCATTCCCTCTCCCTTCTTCCTGATTGACTATCTGACAAAATCTCTCATTTTCACCCCTCATATAGGGGCTCTCCCCTGGTCAGGGGATCTCAACACTGAGATAAAGCAGCATTGGACACTGTGGTTCATGCCTTTGCCTTTATCCCACATCAGAGAATCATGTCCCTTGCACCTTACTGCATTCTTTAACTCTAGGACTTGTTCTGACCCACCAGCTACTGCTTGCAGCTGTAGACTACCTCTTCCTGCATGCACTGTTGGCACTCAACATAGCAACACCACTGCACTTGACAGTGGCAAGAAAAAGTAACTAGGCGGCTCTGGGTGTTATAACCCCGTCCACAGCACATGCTGTCACAGTTGCCCTCCCGAGAGCAGGTCCTCCCCGCCGTTCCCAGGGAGTATTTGCTGGGTCGGCAGAAACTGGGGGAGTCTTCCACATACACCAAGTCAGTGGAACGGGGTGAAGAGGGATGCTTGGAGGAATGGCTGTGTCTGTGGGGGCCAGCTAGCTCCGAGTGTCCCACTGCATCATTGCTGGTGCTGAACACCTTGACAGCATCATCATAGCGCAGCTTCAGCAGTCTGCCAACCTCGTGAAATGGTGAAAGCTGCTTCCAACACGTCCTGACAGCACATGAGCCGGAGACACCATGGCACTTGCATGTAGTTTTGAGACCATTCTTCACAGCCTGATGAGGAAGAGAAGTGATAATTATTATCTGACAGGTTTGTGAGATAGTTCTGGGTACAGCTAAGACTTCACATCCAAGACAGACCAGAATTACTTCAGTTTTATTGGCATTATTTCCATTTTCCTGAACAAAACTAAAAAAAAATAAAATAAAAACACAAAAACAGGAGCAACTACAGAGCTAACTGGAAATCTGAAGAGCAGAAAGCCCAAACATGAACAAATGGCTGAACATGGAGACTAGCCAAATTCTTCCTAAGCACATATTTAGAAAAGCGGGAATAGTTGACCATGAAAGAACACACCTCCAGCATGGTGCATTCCCGTTCTTGACATTTTCAAATAAAGACGGTGCTTTCGAAAGAAATAAGTTCAGTAAAAAGAAAATAGTGATAACTCAATCATCCATAACATACAGGCCACATTGCTTGGTCTAATGGTCTTCCTTACCAAGTTTTTGACATAATTAGTACCAGAGAGCACAACCAATCACCAACATATTCAGAAGTGAAGTTGGGAGTGTCAACCCTCAATTTGTTTTACAGATTGAACCATCTTTGAATCTCTAGCCATACCCAGAACTCCTTGTAGCTATGGCATAACCCATGGACAGTGAATTTTACAACTTTTTTAATACTGCATTGTTGTCACTCAGCCACCGACATGAGCAGAAGATGTAGGCTGTTACTTTTCCAGTCTAAATGTGCAAATCTTCACACCAGAACTCTCAGTGCCATAAGGCCCTCAACACCCAGGGAAAAACGTCTAGTTTTTGAGTAACAGCAGTGAATAACTCCCTCATGGACAGCCTAAACTGAGGATGGGTTAGGAAACCTGCACTGAGTCTTAATTCCTCTTCCGGCATGCTGCTGTGGCTCCTCACCTTGATGCCAACATTGGTGTTGTGGATGTCCACCTTGGCTCGCAGGTCTTTTCCAATCCTCTTTTGACCCAAGAATTTTTTCAGGAACTTGGTGCTGTATTTGAGGTTGTCTCCACAAACACCCCATTGCCAAGCCTTGCGGTTCTCCAGATCTGGGGAGTCATCACAGGTGCAGCGCTCCATGCGCCCAGCGCTACATGCTCTGGCTAAGGAGTGGGTGAGAGCTGCTGAGGACATGGCATAGAGGAAAGCAGTTTCCTTAAAGCCTGCATAGGAAAAGGATTAGAAGAGGGTAGGAGCAGGATAGGGAAAATATGGCTTTCATTTGCCTTACTAGCTCTCCTCACTCTGACCATGAACTAAAACCAAGCACAATACTTAGAGACAACAGTCTTCCATTACCTGCATACCATTCCTAGCAGTGAAACTGAATTTCAGATTTGAAGTCACCTGTGTATTAATACCCTAGTCTCACCTGGTAGCTGTGGCTGATTCAGTACTGAGATAGGAGACCACTCAGGAATCAAGGAATGGTGCCAACAGCCAAACTGAGACTGAAAAAATATTAAAACCCTTGATCCATTATTTTAAAAAACTTTTAACTGGGGCTGTGTCAACAGAATAGTATTTCCAATGGAAAGGTCAAATGTACTTTGATTGGAAAAGGTTATGTATTAAAGAACATCCTGGCCAAGTAGAATTCTCTTTTATATAAGCAGATTTTGTGGCTTCTTTCAAAAGTATGTATTCCCAGTACTCCCAGTCATTGTGGTGATACTTTCTGAATCTGTTCTCCTTTTTAAAACAGGCTTCCCAGCTGGGCTGCTGCTTCCATGACACACCGTGACATTTCAACCAGGACAGAAAGTACAATGTCTGAAAAGAAATCTGGTTGAAAGACATAGGCTCAGATAAGAGTGCACATATGGTATTCTCAAATGTGACTCCCATGAGCTTCACAGAAGAAGAATTGACACAGACCTGATCTAAAGCAAAAAATATTTTGTTTTTATTGTTCACCTGCTCTCCAACTCTATGCACTGAAAGATCTTAACATTTTCTACAGAGTTTATCTGAATAAATTAAAACTATCAATGAAAAACTGCATATCAAGATCACTATTTAGGAATTAGAGCCAGAAAGAGAAAGACAGGTGACTGTGATCAATAGCTCAAAGTGCAGAACTTCATCAGATTGTCCAAAAATAAATACATATATATATATATAAAGGTTTATGAAAAATGTAACACTTGGGCATTTCTTGTCAGCAACAAATCTGTTTCCCAAAACAATGAAAGAATGGGAGAAATTTAAAGACCTGACCTAGTCTTGATAGGACTAGAGGAAATGGCCGGAAACTGAAGCATCAAAAATTCCATAGGAACTTAAGGAAAAATTTCTTAACAGTGAGGGTGACAGAGCACTGGAACAGGCTGCCCAGAGAGGTTGTGGAGAAGCAGTTTGGATGTCTACAGGCTGCAGGCAAACAGGCACAGAAATAGCAAAGTGTAGCAGAGCCCAAGGGGGAGATGGCCAAGGTTCATTGCCATGGCCAAAAGCCTCCAAAAGAACTAGGTCTATGTCACCTGTGCTATGGCTGGTGTCTCTGATATTGAAGATTGGGAGAGGAAACTTCTTGCTCATGGCCACAGGGTCTCCTTGCCTGCTTTCCCCCAGGGACACAAGGTGTGCTGCCCTTGGCCTTGAACAACCCCCGCCCACACACTGACGCAGCAGGAGACCGGGGCAAAGCATGGAGGAAAGGACACCCCTACTCAGAGTCATAGAATCATAGAATCATAGAATCATAGAATCATAGAATGCTTAGGGTTGGAAGGGACCTCTAGAGATCATCTAGTCCAACCCCCCTGCATACGCAGGGACACCTAGAGCACGTGGCACAGGACTGCATCCAAGCGGGTTTTGAAGATCTCCAGAGAAGGAGACTCCACAACCTCTCTGGGCAGCCTGTTCCAGTGCTCTGTCACCCTCACTGTTAAGAAACCACTGCCACCAGTGAAAAGAGACCATCACCGTCCTCTGCACTCCCTCCCTTGAGGTATTTATATACACTGATTAGATCCCCTCTCAGCCTTCTCTTCTCCAGGCTGAACAGGCCCAGCTCCCTCAGCCTCTCCTCATAGGGCAGATGTTCCAGGCCCCTGATCATCCTTGTAGCCCTGCGCTGGACTCTCTCCAGCAGCTCCACATCCCTCTTGTACTGTGGAGCCCAGAACTGGACACAATACTCCAGATGCGGCCTCACCAGGGCTGAGTAGAGGGGCAGGATCACCTCCCTCGACCTGCTAGAGATGCTCTTCTTAATGCAGCCCAGGATCCCATTGGCCTTCTTGGCCACGAGGGCACACTGCTGCCTCATGGTCAACTTATCATCCACCATGACACCCAGGTCTTTCCCCGCAGAGCTGCTCCCCAAAAAGTAAAAGTTCAGTACCTCCAGAATGCCAAATGCTTGTCTGAAAAGTCTAAGGTGATTCCCTCTACTGTGTAATGAGGGTCTGATCCTTGTTTAATCATTTAATTCATCTGGTGTATATGTAAAGAGAAAGCTGAGTGGCCCTTAAGTCCTTGCAGGGTAAAAATGAACATCAGTGCATCTAAGTTGTATTTTCAGTAGATCACAGCACAAATGAGTGAGATTCAGCTCAAGCTAAAATGTTCTCAAAAAGACCTTGATGCAGGTTTCTCCATGTGTGCAGGCATCTATCCTCCCACTATGTGAATGCAGCTCTTGTCACCACAGCCAGTGGAGTCTGGAGGATCAGGATCTGTCTTAGAGCTGAATCACTCTCCTGAGCCACTGATTAGGTTGCTAGTGACCATCATGAAAGCTTAAACACTTATCACCTAGAGTAACACCTGAATATATACATTTTTGATGGGCATCTTTATAGGTTTAATAGTAAACATCCGGTACAGAGTCAAATTTCAAGATGTTGAAGCAAGTCAGCTTCTGCTGGTAGGACTCCTCCTCTGGAATTGTTCCTATATCTCACCAGCCTATAAATACAGAAGGACTTTTTCTGTGACACTGTTCTGTGGCATGGTGTGCTCTAGACCACGAAGAAAATTGTAATAGGAGGAGTTTAGCCATATGGCAATTCTGCCAAAGGAAAGATGGTTAAAGCCAAAAATTTTTCAAGGTCATGATACAGTGGGAGCATTTCAGAAAAAGGGGAAGAGGTTTCTCTCTTGGAAAAAAAAAAAAAAAGTAGACTGGAAAGTTACAGAATTGTAGAAAGAACTAACAGGGCTAGGAGCAGGGCTAGCTCCAAAGCTACATCAAGTTGTTCAGGGCTTGGCCCAACTGGGTTCTGAAAACCTCCACAGAGGGAGATTCCACAGCCTCTCTGAGCAACTGCTCCTGTGTTCTTCCATTCCCAGGTTCCTCATAGAAACATTGAAATCACTGCTTGAGGATCAAACAGTCTGATCAATTTGAAGCAAAGAAATGGAAGGGTGGAGAAAAGGACTGTGGCAGCATCTGAGCTGTCTTGGCTATAGGTATTTATTTTTCTGAAATCACCATGTTGTTTGAGATGAAATACAGCTTATTCCAGCAGTAGCTGGCTGCATTAAGGTCACACTTCGAAAGCTAAAAGATCACTGCTTTACAAGTTTTACATGAGAAGATATCAACTATTGCAATGCAAAAAGATGACTTAAAGTCTTTCTGGAATTATTTTAAAGTTATTTTTATGGATTTTTTTTTTAAAGGAGAAGTGGAGAAGGAATGCAGAGAGATTTTGTGTGGATCAGTGAAGAGCAATAACCACCATAAGTGGCTGCAGAGGCCATGAAAAGATTGTAGCTATGCAAAAGGAGTTTCCCAGTTGTGTCCAGAGGAGTGTTGGTGTAAAACAACCCAGAGCAGACTGTGAAATTAAATCTGGCATTTCAAAAACCGGAAAACCCTTGGCATTTCTTCTGTTACCAAAATTATGTAAATACACAAAATGACATGGTGACGTCTGTAGATGCAGGAAAAGCATTTGTGATCCCAGGCTAGCCACAGAGGGTTTTTTTTAGTTGTGACACCAAATTAAGTGTGGCCGTCCATCAATTACAAAAATGAAACATCTTATTTGGACATCATCTTTTTTCCCCTCTTATGCTGATAAAACTATTAAAGACTGTGTTGAAAAATGTGCATTTTTGTCTGAAGTTCCTCTACAACCACAGCAATATCAAAGGGTTTAATCTTCAGCATTAGGGTAGCGACCAGTCTGTTGTCTCACTGGCTTTTCAAGGTAGCAACAAAAGTGAAGCAGAAGTATGTGAGAAACAGATCAAAAGTAGCAGCTGGAAATGTCACTGCTTTTTGTGGAAGAAATTAATCTATCTGCAATTTAAAGAAAAAATGATAATTAATAATTGCTTCCAGCCAATTGTCCTCTCATATAGGAGATGTGTATAGCATACTTAGCTATATTAAATCATCATTTGATCTTAAAGATTGTGTAATAAAAGTTTTCAAACACTTCTCCTCCTCTGCCAAAACAGGTTTTGAATTACAGGGGATATTTTATTTCGTCAATCTGGAGCCCATGGAAATGTTGAGGCACGCCACAATGAGATAATTAAATGTTTTGCAGCTATTTGAAGATGAGGATTACTCGATTGTCATTTTCAAGTTCTTTGAGGTTGATGAAGGTAGAGATGTCAGAAAGTCACTCAAAGTGATCACAAATATTTTTTTCCATAGTTTGTTAGAAAATTCACAACAGCCTTAAAATGAAGTAATCTGATCTGTATTTATAGATATATGTATATATGTTTATAGAGAGATCTGATGATATATAACATTTTCTAAAACACTGTCAATATTCGATTTAATAAAATTTGATACTTCCTAATTAAAATATAAGAATGCTTTAATACCAATGCTAAAAAAAAAACACTTTAATTCTTTAATTTCATGAAACAAAGATAATATTAGTTCATTCTGTTTCTTTCTTTTAAGAAACTTTTTTTTTTTTATTTTATTTTTTTTTTAGGTAGCCAAACATTATTGGAAGACTGAAACTTGATAAAAGGCTGGTCACACATTTAGATGAGGACTGGTTCACTAAAGTATATAGGCATGCTCTGGGAACTTGTATCAAGAAATTAGTCTCTGAGTCTATTTTCATTCTATTACTCTGAACTTCTCTGAAGGAATTTATTATTATCCCATCTACCTCAAATACAGGAATTAAAGGACATTTTCTTCCTGTAAAGTACTCTCAGAAACAAAAGGACAGTGACTATTTTGTCCACCACAACTGAACTTCTGTGCAAAGTCTAATTTTATGTGGAAGAGTCTTATGAGATGTTGCACTGAAATGCAATATCTGAAATGGCTGACAAACTTTTTTTAAACAGTAAATTAGGATTAAAGTCTGTAACTGAAAGCAACAGATGCCCAAAGAGCTAGAGAAAAAAAAAGAGCTTTATTAAAATGTTCCTTGAAATAGGGCACTAACCCCTGCTTTCTATAGGATCATCCCTAATTGTCAGCCAAGAAAGATGATGAGCTTATGAAACTCTGGTCTCAGACAAAAATCCGCAAGCCAAGTTCCTTCCACTTTTCAATCAGTAACAAACCATGCACCAAAAATGAGGATAAGGCACTTTTATACTCTTTAGTAAAAAAAGACCACACCAGACTCCTATCCTAGCTCCCACTCCTAGAAGAGGCAGATGATGTCTGCACGCCCCAATTACTGCTCCATGTCCTAGCTGCCTGTGAGATATCATATCCAGGAGCTACAGCACCAAGTGAGATGTGATACCACAAGCAAAAGACTACCTTGTACCTCGCTTCAGCAGACTAGTCCGTCCTTCCAGGCTGCAGTTCCAGCGCTCACTGCGGAACTGATACTGGCATTCCATGATCCCAAGCCGGATGGCATCCCGCAGCGTCTCTGCCAAGCCGGGCTCCCTCCGACAAAGTCTCTTCTGCTTGCGGGACAGCTTCAGCAGGTCACACTGTTTCACATGAACCTTCCCTTGGGCAGAGTTTGTTGAGGAGCTGAGGGATGGGAAGTGGGTCAGAGCTTCTTTCCCAGTTAATCTGAAAGCAAGCAGTCAGAAAAGGGAAACAGTCAGGGAAAAGAGCAGTTGTAGAAGAGAAAAGAGAAAATCAGAGGAAAGGATAAAAGATATTCAGAAAACTGCTGGCTGGGGTACTTTATCAGCTCAAAAGACTGGTCAGTACAGATTGATTAGATCTAGTATCCCATCTCTACCACACACCAGGGCAAAATAGATTATTAGAACTGTCAGGAGAAAGAAGAAACACATGTGCAGCCCCAAAATGCCAAAACCAACGAGAAAGACAAATGGAATCCTTCACAGACCTTTACCAGTTCTCCTCCCCAATCAGACAAATTAGGCTATGTTTTTCTACAAGTTGACTGTGGGAGTCATGCAAGCAAGACTTGTTAGGGAGGGATCTATAGGAGCAGCCTGTAAGTCATGTCTACAAAAAACACACAGCTGCTGGCACCCCACCACTAGCGTAGCACCTCTCCACCAGCTTCCCTGCCCAGCTAGGTCCTTGAACAAACCAAGTCAAATAGTGAAGCCTGTTAATCAATACACTAGGTTAGTAAGTTGATACAATGCCACAGTTCCCCATCTCACCATATATTCATCTCACCACACTATATTATCATTTTCCTATGAAATGCGTAGCTCTTTAGCGGAGAGAGCTCTTTAGCTCTTTTTCAGAGAAAGCTGAATTAGCCTTCTATACAAAGAAAGTCTGTCTCCGCTGATGGGGAGGAAAGCTTGTGTCAGTGAACATGACAGATCTAAGTTTTCTCTTTCACATTGTAGTTGTACTTTCATCTATGCAGCTGAGCAAGCTGTAGATTACCTGGCTTCACAAAAGACAAATTTCTAACAACTCCTTCTCATCTGTACAAGCAAGAATATTTTCTTAGGAGGGATATAACCTTCACAGTGCAGGGTGCAAATCAAGCACTACAGTTAGGATTTTAGTCTCACAGAAAGTTTGTAGGCATTTATTTCTGAGCTAATTGTCTAGATCTTTCTATCATCAGTGGCAACCCAGTCATAGAATCATAGAATCATTATGGTTGGAAAAGAACTTCAAGATCAAGTCCAACCATAACAGTCTATCCAACCATAGGAATTACAGTGCAATTCAGTTGACCTAGCCTAGGAATACACTGTAGTCATCACTGATCTCCGACCCCTTTGAGTATTGACTGGCTCTCCACTGTCTATAAAAAGAGCACACATAACTCAGCTACAGAAGCCAACACAGACACTCTCAGTTAGTCAGATGAACACCACCTCACTCACCTGGCATTAGGAGCAAGCCCGCTATTATTGAGTATGTACAAAGGCAAAGAACTGTATGGCCCACTGTGCAAGCAATAGCGAGCTGACTCAACCGGCTCCACCTTCATTTAACACCCCGCAGCACTTCCGCACTCATTCTCAAATAACCTGCAACTTCTAACTCACATATCTGTAATTACACACAACAATGGCATTAAGCAACACACAGAAGTCATTTAGAGACCCATGAATGAACGAAGAAATCATAATAGAAAGCAACAAATATTAAACTTTAGAAACTTGGTGGATGAGAAGAATCTCTTAAGCCCATTGTCACTGCTGAACGGGGGGACAGAAACATGAAACGTTCCAATGAAAGCCAAGAGATGACCATGTGACACTAGATACCAAAACAGAAATACCTGGAGCCAGATTGAGCCCAGTAAATTAAGATTAACATACTTTAGATGACTGAGATTCAGAGATCAACTCAGATTGCATAGTCTAAAACCCTGTCAGACAGCAAACACTGCCCACACAGGGCAGAAGCACCTGGCACACAAGGGATGTGGCAGCTGGAGAAACTTTAGTGGGGAACACAGGATTGACTGAACTGAGACAAACTCACAGATGATGAATAATCTTTGACAAGTTGGCCTAACCCACTGTGGTGCTTAAAAATCAACTAACTTTTCCATTGAAGGTAGATTCCCTTGGTGCATAAGCACACGCTCAGCTCTGAAGCATGTTAGAGGTAAAAACAAGAAAAGCCATCTCTAACGACCTCTCAGCATGGACAGCGAGGGACTTTGATGTCAATAAAAGTTTGTTCTACTAGAGATGTCCAAACCATAGGTGACTCACTGGGACAACACTGAGTTCAGGAAGACCTAACGGAGAAGTAGGACCATTCACCCAGAAAGCAGGAGGCCTAGACTTTGCATGACAGCTGCAGACTCGCTCTCACGCATCCCAAGAAAGCATACTCATCAAGAATTTAGATGTGAGATGTGATTATTTGCCATTTGACTTGTGTTATCTGTGGTCCCATACAGCAAATCTTCCCAAATTTGTATGAAAAAATAAAAGATAAATTTAAGAAAAAAAGAAAAAAAAAAGTTATTTTAAAAAAGGGGGGGGAAGTGACACTGAAAAGGCAATTCCAGAGCTTCATATAAGTACACAGAAGTTGCAAACTGTTGTAAAACCAAATATGTGATCTCTCCAATCTCCTGTAGGCCAAGCTACTTGTTGTCCACATACAACGAATCTATCATTCATGACAAACATCCTAATTCTCAACAATCCCTTCCCTAAACAAACAACTCTGCTCCTGCCAGTTTCCATCCTCATTTTATTGCTCCATTCTACCTAAACCAGCATTCATGCCTTGCCAGATTTTTTCTGAGATAGAATGAGTAGCTTCTTTGACTGTTTGGACTAATCATCTCCTTCCTACAAAAGACAGAATCACCTCAGAGTCCTTCTCTTTCCACGGTAGCTTCACAAGGAGCAGGAGCTCCACTGTAAAGGAATGGAGGATGTACTACCAAAGCCCACCTGTAGCACTCTTATTTATGAATAAAGTAGAAAGCAGTGGAAATATTTGCTCACTTTTTCTTCTTGTCATCATACGTGCTGGTTCAATGGGACAAGGATACTGGTCTCCTTCTCCTGACAGTTGTAATCATCTATTTTTCCCTGGCCTGTGGTGAAGATGGGATATTAGATCTAACACGAATCCCTTCTCATAGAGAAGAGATATGGTAGGCAGTTCTTCAATTGCTTGGTAAAGGCAAGGGGTCATAGTGAATTTTCTTACACGGTATTTTTAAAGTCATGGAACATAGTATATGGAACATAATATTCACATCAGAATGCTGACCCAAAAACAATGTTGTAATTTGTAACCTGTTGCTTAAAAGTCCATGAGTAAAAAAGATAGCAAATGGATCTTCAAATTTTTATAACAGATATGAGGATCTACAGAGCATAGAATAGAATTCTACTGAGTGAGTTGGTAGGAACCCCAAAAAGACAATAGAATTAGTGAACACAGGTTAAATACAAAATAGTGGAAAAGAGTCAACACAACTTCTGTAGAGACAAGTAAATGTATTAGAATTCTATTAGAGGTTTTTGAAAGACTCATTGACTAAAGAGACAAGGATGATCCAGATGCTACTTTCAAATATAATACATCTCCAGACATGCAGAACAGCTCTTGCATGAAGAGTAAATAGATAAACTGGATATTCTTCATGCTTTCCACTTGGAAAGAAAGGGATACTAGGAGAAAAGAGCTTTGTAAAATCATGACTGGGCTACAAGTGAGTAAAGAAAGACTATTCCTGTCTCTCTTACACAAAAACTAGGGAGAATTATATGAAGTTACTAATCAGTAGATTAACAATAAATGAAAGGCAGTACATAGCTTGTTGGTAAACTACAGTCCTCCTTACTGCAGAACCCCAGTGATGCTAAAAGCACACATGAGTTCCTACAAAGTCATAGAAGAAAAAATTCTGAGATCATTAAACCCAAAGATAGTTTCTTTGACAAAGGAAATCCTTTAGATGCAGGCTGTCCCAAGATGCAGAGTACTTGGAGAATATCATTATCTGCTAGTTCACTTCAATACTTTTCCCTTCATGCTTATTATTGTTCATTCTTGAAACCTAGATGTGAAGGTAGCAGAAACTTTGGTCTGACCTAGTACAGCTGGTTTTACAATCCCCAACAGGGATTATTTTAAAGATGTCCTATGACCAGCAGTATAGGAGGCTGGTGAGATTTGGGACAAGGTGGTATTGCCATTCTCCAGACCCTGAAGGATGTTAGACATTAATATTTGTGAAAATCTCAAGTAGAATAGTGGCAAGCACTATAAAAACATCCTTTGAAGGATTTAATTCCATTTTCAGAGCAATCAGAATAGTGCACAGCAAATACCACTTGGGACCACACACAGAGTAAAGATACCAAGGATGTGAATTATACTTATACCAAGTATAATTCATCTTTTACATGACACAAAGAAAAAGCCCTGTGGGAAAACTCTTTCTATGATTGGACCCAGCAGTAGCTTAAATTCCAGCAGAGGTAACGCAGCATCCTGCACAGATAGACAAATTTATCTCCATTTCTTCGTCATCTGTGATTTTTTAGAGTTACAAAAGTAGTATACTATTGACTTTTTTATTTTCCTTTTAATTGCAGAAAGTAACTTGTCACAACACTCGAAACACACAACTTTCACACGTTCACGTTAGGAAAGAGGGCAGAGAAATTCACGAGGTTGACGAAGGTCACCCAGTTGACCACTGGCACAGCAAAAGTCACTCTCAGAGTTCTAACAGGCATAACTAAGATTGCTCATGTAAATAGAAGGTTTCAAGCTCTGACCCTATTAACTATAACTGTATTTTATTAGTAAAACAAACATAAAAGCAGATTAAGATTAGAGGAAAAGAACATTCTCACAAAATCAAGTATAAAATATGCAGATATTTTCAGCCAGGCAAACTGCACGTCATTTTTAGATGATTTAGAGTTTATTATCTACAGATCATACAGCAGAAAAAGGAAAAATCTTTGCATTAATGCACACCTGCTCACAATCTGGAAAAACAATAAGGATCTCAAACTTTTATTTCTACTTTTCTGTCTAAGCACTTTGCTAAATTCATCATTTTTCTTTAATCTCCTTCCAGCCACATTCCAGCTGCTTAAGAGATTTTTAATGAGAGCCTGTTCCTGTGTAATGCCCAATGTCCTCTAGATCTGAAAGGTCTTTAAAACCCTTAAAAATATGCCTTTTCTCCCTCTCTCAAGAAAGGAGAGAAATCAAAGGGACCCACAACAGCACTTCATATCTGATTTCACAGGCCTTTCATGTTCCACAGAAATATCCACACCCCACAGATCGCTGCAACAAGCATACAGGAAAGGCCTGGAGAATATTGGACAATTTGATAGATCAAATTAAGGCCACTAAGGTGAAGGCAAGGTCCTCAGCTATATTTTCTCTCTAGCACAGACAGCTCTCAGTGGCACAGAGTTTTAGTTCTTTCAGAAACAACAATATTTACTTCTCAATACTTGTCTCTGGACAAATGGATGGCCAAGACTCATCAGTGTTGTATTGGTTTGCCTAAGCGGTCTGGTTTTGCATGCTCTGTATCACCAGTCCTCCACAGAGAAGTTAACAGAAATCCCCAAAGCAGCATGGTGAAATAATTACTCTCAAAGGGTTTTTATTAGTCTCTCTCAGAGTTTCATTTCAGACCTTCAGGCAGATATTCATATAACTACTGTTCTCCAGGTCTCTTGTCAAGCTTTTGCTCCTCACAAAGAACAAGAGCTTGAATTAAAAACTGAAGTGATATTTATACAGTTTTACCTGAGGTTATGAATCGGTGTCCTTGGCACTAGGCTTTCCAACCCTTAACCTCTCTTGGTTGTTGCAAAGGGTTGCTACCTTTTTGGGAACAGCAATAGATGATGTGTCCAAATGCAGACTTGTTTTTACAAAATAAGAATCCTCCTGGAACTCCACAGAGTACATAAACATCTCACAGAGGAAGATATGGCTGTTTTGGGAAGAGAAGCATGTGATCTGGTGTGGGAACACCCCAACTGAGAACCAGTTGGCAACAGCCATGGTTAGTATTTATGCACCAGCTGAATTAGGTCACTCAACTGTACTTGGTGCTTCCTCCTTACCTGCTTGAGGGTCCCATAGTCTGGACATCCTTGGCCTAAAATTTTTCCCCTCTAAAGTCTGTCACATGAAATCATATCCATGTAGCTCTTGCTCTGAGGGTTCATGTAGTCCCTGCTGCTGACAGTCTAAGCCAGCCAGCACTCAAGTTCATCACTGTGTTGATCAGATTTTCAGGCTAGCTCTGGACTGGCTGCATTCTCTGAAGTGTCCCCTAGAAGAAACACTCAACACAAATGGGTGAGTTTTTAGAATTTGTGATGCCTTGAGGTTAAAGAGAATCTGGGAGCTAAAGATAATCAAATATTTGTGAAAAGCCCTTAATTATTCATTGCATAAAGAGTACCGCACCTCCTCTATGCCTAACACTTCAGATTCCATATCTTCAAATAGTTAAAACTTTCCTTTTCTCTTATTTCTACTCTCTTTCTGCTAATACACTCTTTTTACAATTCCAGCATTCTCTCTATGTGACAACACAAAAACGATGCTGTAACGAACTTCCAAAATACTGTACTTTGAGGAAAATTTAGGCAGCCTGTAACAAATATGGACATTCAGTCTATCTGACAGAGGTGCAATTCAATGCTACTTTTTTTCCAAGAGCATTCAGATCTGGACGGTCCCTATTTGTAGTAGATTTAGTGCATTAGATTCAACAAGAAAACACTGCAATTACAGTTGCCAAAGAAGTAGGAGAATGTATATTATAAGTATATATTATATATATACATATATGTGTGTGTGTATATATGAATATAATATATAGTAGGAATGAGAAGTAATGGAGCTAGCTGGATGAAAGCTTATTTGAAATATATAGAAAGATATGGAGGAGGTAAGGACAGGAATTTTGAAGGAACCTGTATTTATATTAAGATGCCATCAGACATTTTCTAAATCATGCCTGACACAATCAAGCCCAAGCTTTCATAGATTTGCAAGTGACATGTTCCTTTTGCTCTCTAAGGAATCAGCAAACACGTAAATCGTCTTGAGATACCTGTGCCAGGCTTCCTAGATATGTGTATTATGTCCTGCCTTGAATTGCAGCTTCCTTTAATTCAGCCTATGCATGAATTGTAAGAATTGCTTCGTGTGTGCCACCAAAGTCAGCGGCACAAGTATTGCTCTTTGACATGAAGGAAAGTTTTGACTCTTGGATTGATGTGTTTGCTGATCCCTTAGAGAGCAAAAGGAACATGTACTGAAAAGAAATGTACTGGCCCAATGGGCCAGTGAATGAGATGTGTCGTAGCCCACTCCAGGAGATCTCCCCAGCAGAAGGCACTAGTAAAGGTTTGTTGCCTCCTGCCTGAAGCCGGTCTCTTCTAAAAACCTACCGTGCCCTCATTCTAGGAAGAAGGAAATTCTGTCCTCTTCGATGAGAAATACTCTCCCTCCTTCAACACCTCTCAGACTGTTTTTCACAAGCAATGTGTTTCTGACAGCTTTTAGTGAAATTTAGAACGATTCCCATCCAGTCCAGGAGTTGTACATCCAAAAACAAAAAAGCATGGATAAGAGGAGACGAGGAGAAGAAGGAAACACCTTGCAGAAGGCAACGGCTTGGGGGAAGCCTGGAAGACTGAACCTGAAGTGAGAATGAAACAAGCACAAACGAAGCTCAGAGGTGCCCGTTGTGTGAACACAAGGGACATGAGCACCCCGGACTCCTGCATCTATTGGGTCTGGCAATTCCAAGGTAACCTGAATAACAGCTGAATCACATCTCATGCAGAGCTTATTTTCTATCTTATTTTCTATTCACCGTTTAAAAGCAAGCTTCAATTTACACCTCTCTGGATGCAGCATTGGCACTTAAAACAGCTCAAGGCCTGCTCAGGCACACCCAATGCACTGACAGCACAAACACGCAGCGTTGCAGGAGTGCAGTCTCCTGAATTTTGCCCACAACTGCTGTTATGTCTCTTTTGCAATGTTGTGTTCACACAGCAAGACCTCTGCTCTGTACAGTTATAGATGATTTTCATCTTTCCTAGGCTCTTTGGCCAGTTTTGCTGGACTGCCCTGTACACTTCTTGCCTTACCCTTGTCCCTCTAGAACCAAACACAGGTAGGATTTTCTTTGCCGGTGTGAGCTAGAAATATTTCATCTTTGCCAACCCCACATCATACAACCCAAGAGCTCAGGTCTTGTCTCTAACGAGAGCCACACAAATGCCTCCTTTACTCTCTGTAAGGTCTCCTCATTTCTTTAAAGATTTCTTAATAAAAAGGTTTGCAAAGCAAAGATTTGACTGACATTTCTAAATCTCTTCTATGTAGCAAAGCACTGGCAGGGGCTGCTGAACCAGAGCCTAAGGGCTCCACCAATTCAGTAGCAGTTTTGGAAATGAGACTACATTTCTCCCAATCTTTCAAAACAATGCTTCTTAGATATGCAAGTTCCCCTCTAGCTCATCGGCTCTAGTTTGGCCTGAAAGCAACCCTATATCTCATTATTAATGATCAGCAAACACTTATTCAGATCTTAGGCTTTCATTTCTGTTTTGTATTCCTTCTTGTGACTCTTAAGTAGTAGATGAAAGTGAAAAGGTGAGACTGCACAGCACATGACCGTGTCAAAAGCCCTCAAGGAAAAAAAAGAAACTAAAAAAGAAACACAAAAAATGTGAAACGAAAGCCACAAATTCAGAGATATGCATCATCAAAGGCCAGCACACACAAATTTCATGACTGGAAAGCAGCTCATACCCAAAGATCACTGTTACAAAAAGAATAATCATTCAGGTTGCTTTAACAACTGACTCCAGTTGAGCAATACTCAGAAACTGCTTTGCATTAGCTACCTGAAAAGGAAATATGAACAAATTTGCTTCCTCTTAGTACAACTGTGTGCACCTGCTCCCTGTAACTGGAAAGCTACTCTCACTGCAACCCAGCTTCATAAAAACAACATGTCTAGAAAAAAATTACATAGTTTTCCCTGTCACCATACACTTAGGTATGAGTGAGGCTAAATAATGTAATTAATAAAATCCACCTGAGCTGAGGAAGCTTTTGAGCAAAAATGAAATTGAAGTCATTGTCCTAGTTGAGGGTGCTAAGCCAGCAGCCACTTGCAAGTAAAGGTAGGAAGAAGTGACTGGCCTGGCCTGTGCAGAGCATGTGTACAGAGAAGTGTGTACAGAGCAAGAAGCTCTGAGCCTGGCATGTGCCCAGTGACAGCAGCACCCAGGTGACCCTGAGCCATGTCCTGCACTGAAGCATCAGCTCTGCTTCGCTGACACCAGCCCTGTGGTGCACCACAGTTCCACATGTCACCTGCACCCTGCCCACAAGACCCACTTCCCTTCCCCACTCTCCTTCTCCCACCTTCTTCCCTGCAGGGAAATAGTTTGGAGACAGATTGCAGTGAGAAACTGTTCTGGACAAATTTCACCTCCTGAACGAAGACACGCTTCCAGGTGTGGGGGAAGTCGCTGCTTTTCTCCCTATTGCTCCAGCCCCACAGCTCTGCTCTCCATCCTGCACCTTCCCCCAAACCTCTTCCCCCAGATGCCTTGGGTGCACGGTGGGACTCTCGGGGGCACCCAGCACCTTCCTGCTCTCCAAACCTCCCTAAGATCCCCTTTTCTCCCATCTCTCTCCCCAAAACACCCCACGCTCAGTGCAAGGTGCCGCGGCAGGAACCAGGGGAGCTGCAGGTGGGTGAGCGGCTGCAGCCGGGGACCCTCCCCCGGGTCCCCCGCGCCCTCCCCGGCCCGCGGGCGG